TACATTTGATGCGTTGGCATTTCTGAGCTGCTTTCTAGGAACAATTCTACAGATTCCTGAGCAGAAGCCTCCATTACACTCATGACAGGGGCTCTTTAGGGGACTCTTCCACACTCTGAGGGGGAGGGGTGGCATTTAGTTGTACACCTTCCTGGTGGCCAACCTTGGCGTCCGCTTTCATGGAAGTTGTCACACCGGAGCTGCGAATTCAGCAGGAGGCGGGAAGGTTGCAGCTTATGGTCCCGGGGGGGACGAATGTCGGGAGGTTCTATTTTTTCCAGGAGGCGGACCTATATATCCTAAGCTGCTGCAAATGTGCGTTTATTGATCCGTTATTGGTACATCATTCTGATACAAATGAACTCACCGTCTGTATTGATGGAAGGTGACAGGTCCTCTTCTATCTTTATCTGGATCCTTTCTAGTACGACCTCCGGAAATCCTGCACCATCCAAACACGGAGAGGTCGTTAGGTGTGGAGACCATTCAACGTTTACACAGGAAAACCCAAGACCTGGTCGGCTAATTCCCGTCCTGACAACCCCAGAGCCCTACTCAATCCACCCCACCTCCTCAATCCACCCCACCTCCACCTGTAATTCCACGGAAACCCTCACCTACTTCTGGGGTCATTCCATTACAGAGGACTAAAGACTGGGACATGACACTAAATGGCCAAAGATATGTGAATCCCCAGTGAATGTTCTATTCACTCTCCATCATACAGAGACATTGTAGACAATTGTGATCTTCCAGCATTGTGGTCACAGTTTGGTGAAGACCCTTTTATGTCCCCCCCATGACTGTCCCCTGTGTACAAAGCTCCATAAAGGCATGGTGTGACCTGCACAGAGCCCTGACCTCAACCTACTGAACAGCCTTTGGGATGCCTTCCCAGAAGAGTGGAGGATGTTCTAGCTGCAACGTGGGGCATGTATTGGGTGAGGAGAGATGTGGACGGTGAGAAGTCCAATCAGAGAAGTTGGAGATTGATTAATCCATACAGACATGGTGTGACCAGTCCGGTGGAGGAACTCGGGTGTCCTGCACAGAGCCCCGACCTCAACCCTACTGAAGACCCTTGGGATTAATTGGAACTCCAATAAGTCTTCTCATCCAACATCAGTACCTGACCTCACCAATGGGACAAATTCCCACAGACACCCCCCAAAATCTTGTGGAAAGTCTTCCCAGAAGAGTGGAGGATGCTAGAGCCATGGAGATGGCAACTCCATATTAATGGTCATGGTTTGGGAATGGGATGTCCAACGAGCTCACATGGCCAGGTGGCTGTTTAGTGTATGTAATTATTGGTAGACCTGAAGGACGTTCTACAATCTGGGCGGTGTATGGTCAGCTTTGGGGCCATGTCATATTAGGGATCTGGCTGCTCAAATCAACAGTCAATCCCCCCCCCCTTGATTAAAGGGTCCTCCAGAACCCCAGACCTCCATCCTCTGGACCTTCACAGCCTCGAACCCCATCCTCTCCCCTTTCCAGAGCATCGTACAAGGTTTAATCAGTTTGGTGGAGGAACTCGAGGGTCCTGCACAGAGTCCCGACCTCAACCCTACTGGGCACCTTTGGGATGAATTGGAACGCTGATTGTGAGTCGGGTCCAACATCAGTACCTGACCTCACAAATGGGACACATTCCCACAGACACCCTCTGAAATCTTTGAAGACCCTTCCCAGAAGAGTGGGGGCTGGTACAGCCACAAAAGGGGGCCAACTCTATAGTAATGTCCAAGTCTTGGAATTGGAAGTCCAACAAGCTCATATGGGTGTGATGGTCAGAGGTCCACAAATGATTGGCCATGTGGTGTATGAGGGATGTTGGGGGAAGGGTATACTCTTTGAATCCTCTGATCTATGTCCACGTTCATGATGTTCAAAATGATATTCTAAACATGACAGCCTCCTGGAGAAGTCATGGTGCAGCCCATCCAGCTCTGACCCCCGTAATTATCACCAGTCACGGTGTAGCCGGTCCAGCTCTGACCCCGTAATTATCACCAGTCATGGTGTAGCCGGTCCAGCTCTGACCCCCGTAATTATCACCAGTCATGGTGCAGCCCATCCAGCTCTGACCCCCGTAATTATCACCAGTCATGGTGCAGCCCATCCAGCTCTGACCCCCGTAATTATCACCAGTCACGGTGTAGCCGGTCCAGCTCTGACCCCGTAATTATCACCAGTCATGGTGTAGCCGGTCCAGCTCTGACCCCCGTAATTATCACCAGTCATGGTGTAGCC